CTCTGATACAGGATAAGCCCATATTTGATTAGTTTACACAGTAAAAATAGAAACATGGTCGGATTTGTAGCAAAGGATGAAGGGAAATGAGCTTGTGGGTGGCTGAGCCTCTCAGTAATTCCCATTTAGTCCCCTCACCTGGGAGCAGGGATGGTTACAGTTGGTTCTCCAGTTTCATTGGTGATGGAATCAAGGGTTGTCAGAGAAAGCTGTTTAATCTAGTTTTCCAGAAACGCAGGAAATTCTTGCACCACTCTGGATCTTGGCTCCATCTTCTGGTATGTTAGACACCCTGAAAGAGAGAGAGAGAGAGAGAGAGAGAGAGAGAGAGAGAGAGAGAGAGAGAGAAGATGATTACTTGTGTGTGTGTGTGTAGGGGCAGCACAGTCAGAAGATAGTAAGTTTGTTTTGTACTGGGGATTGAACTCAGGGGCACTCAACCACTGAGCCACATCCTCAGCCATGTTTTGCATTCCATTTAGAGGCAGGGTCTCACTGAGTTGCTTAGCACCTTGCTGTTGCTGAGGCTGGCTTTGAACTCTGTCTTCCTATTCCAGCCTCCCAAGCCACTGGGATTACAGGCAAGTGAGCACCACCATACCTGGCCAGTAGTAAGAATTTTTTAATGGCACTCAGAAATGGTGACAACAGGCAGAACTTTTCTTGCAGTTTTGCTCTAAAAGGGCCAAGGGAGTGTTATATTGCAGGCAATAAAATGGTAAGTGCTTGATGATTATTAAATATGTACCAATTACTGAATTGACTTGAAGCACCAAATGATACAATACACTGACACAATTTCTTTAATCATTTTATCTTGCCCTCTTTTGTTAGGATTGTAGGAATAAAGTAGGCTATCCTGGGGTGGTATCTCCTTATACTCATCTCTCAAACATTTACTGACTGCTTAATATTGTGTGCAGTGCACTGATTTGGGTGCTGAGGTGATGCTATCAATCAACTACCACATCATCACCTTTATAACTGGTGTTGCAGTGGGGGAAGGTATGTCAAGAGTTATGCCATCCCACCCTTCCTAACAAGCAAGCACAATGTCAGCAAAGGTCAATTCATTAATTATTGGTTCTTCTATAACTTCTAACTAGTAGATGCCTCAGCCTCAGGGAATTTTGACCCATTAAGTCTCTGGGGAACATCCTGAAACTTGTTGTCCACTCTGCCCCTGCCTGCCAGAATACCCCTGAACATCTGCCATGTGCCAAGTGCTATGCTTTCGCTGTCTCATTTGTCAGGTATTTTATTCCTATGCTCCCTTTAAAACATGGAAAATTGTCCTCAGAAAAATCAAGCTTTCTCTTCAACTCCACAACTTGGGTTGTCCACTTTGTCTCTTGGACCAGAATGCTTCACTTTTCTCTATGCAGATACTTATGGCCAAGTCCTTTAAATAGGGTGCAGAGGTATTGTCCAATTTTTCTCTATCAGATTGAAGTTAAGGAAGAAAGAAGCATGGAGGAAATCTTAAGATTTCCGTACAAGTGTAGGGGAAGGGGAATCTTATAATATAAGTCATCCTAGGCCCTTAGTCAAATTTTAGGAATTTCTCAGCTTTTAGAATAGACATCCCCGGCTGGGGGTGTGGCTCAAGTGGTAGCGTGCTCGCCTGGCATGCATGCGGCCTGGGTTAGATCCTCAGCCCCACATACAAAGATGTTGTGTCTGCCGAAAACTGAAAGATAAATTCTCTTAAAAAAATCCCTCCTGCACAAAAGTATATGTAGGAATATTCTCCATTGAAAATCAAATATACTGGGCTGGGGATGTGGCTCAAGCGGTAGCGTGCTCGCCTGGCATGCGTGCAGCCCGGGTTCCATCCTCAGCACCACATACAAACAAAGATGTTGTGTCCGCCGAGAACTGAAAAATAAATATTAAAAATTCTCTCTCTCACTTAAAAAAAAAAAAGAAAATCAAATATACTTTCCACTTATGAGGATCAGAACCTATCTCCAAATTTATCTTAGCTCCTAGAAGCAAATTCCCCCAAAGTTCCTTGTACGAAAAAGATACCTTAAAGATAAAGATACCTTTATCTTTAAGGTATTGGAAGGTTAGGGGGGAAAAAAAGAAAATAAAAGGTTTATGTCATTGCCACCAATTTCATGTGTGTAAGATGCTGAGCACTGAACCCAAGGCCTCGTGCATACTAGGCAAGAACTCTACCACTGAGCCACAGTTGCAGCCTAGAAATAGTACAGTAGCTAAAGGCATGGGGTGTGTGTGTGTGTATGCAGATAAGATTTAAAAAACAAAAATTAATTTCAGATATGAATGAAAGGTCTAGAATGGGGCCAAGCTTTTACTTTAACTGTGCTTTAGATGCCACAATGGGAGAGAAATCCAGAAAATTTTGAGTGGACAAGAGAGGAAAGCTTCTTGTCAGGGGCATGGAGATAAACTGAACTTCAGCTTTGAAAAACGAAGGTTCGGGCTCACCTAAAATCTTCACAAATTTCCCTTCCAGGAGACATCTCTTGTTTGTAGAAGAGAAAGGAGAAAACAGACACCAGTCACCTCTGGCCTCTCAACACTGGTTTGTCAGGTGGAGGCCAGAGTGTGTGTGTGTTGGGGGTGAGTGGGCATAGAAATATTCTAAATTCAGGAGCCAGTATAGGGATGTGTCATTTTAGGGTAGGGGTAGGGGAGAGGAGCAAAAATACTCTTAAATGTCCTAGGCAATCTATAGGCCCCTATGTACAACTAAGCCTCACTTTTCTGTAAAATTTCAAAACAACCCTTCACTAATCTTTACTGGATGCTGTCCATATTTTCCTATCCATCCTATATTAACTATCCCAAGAAAAATGTATCGGTGTCAAGTCTTCTCTTTTCTGCAAATTATTTGGCAAAGGACTGGAGTATTTCCCAAACATAAGGAGATACACTGGGGATAAGGAAGTCAATTTGCTGGAATATTTAATTTTCTATGAACCTACGCACATCCAGGATAAACTGGTTTAGCCAACACCCTTTTGAGTCAAACACACAAAAAAGTACTACCTATTTGTTTCTCAGTTGGCACAACAGAACTCATTAGCCCCTCCACCCACACCTGTATTCTCAACTTTTGACTCTTGTTTAGGTGAGAACAAAGAAAAAGTTCTGGGAAAAAAATGGAGGAGGGCTGGCATTGTGGCTCAGTGGCAGAGCGCTGACCTCGCGTGTGGCTCTGGGTTCGATCCTCAGCACCACACATAAAATAAAGGTATCGTGTCCAACTACAACTAAGAAACAAAATATTGGGAAAAAAAATGGAGGAGCTAGGGATATAGCTTAGTGGTAGAACAAGAGCTTAGCAAGCGTGAGGTCCTCCTGGGCTCAATCCTCAGCAACAACAAAACCAAACCACCTATGGGAACTGACAGTAAATCTCTATTCGGATCTCATCCTTTCCACAAACTTGGACTAAGCAAGGGAGTTGTCTGAAGTAGGTCTGCAGTTCACATCACACCTCCTCCTTTCCTTCACAGCAAAGGCGCCCCTCGGGGCTGAGGGGTAGAGTACTGGCCTGGCATGCGTGAGTTCAATTCTCAGCACCACATGTAAATAAATATACACTGACAACTGAAAAATGCCTTTTAAAGAAAAGTATCTGTCCTACTGGTGACCCTCTAGCAGCCTTGTTAGCGCAGCCTCAGTTGAGTTATTACTCAGCAACTGATCAGGCTCGGCTGCAGTTACTCATAAGCAAGTATGAGACACCCCAATACCCACCTGATGGTGGATTATGACTACACATGGTAACTCATCCCTTCTGTGTAAGATAGGCTTACCTACAGTGATTTAGGGGGAGGAAGTTATGAGTTTTCAACAATGTACCCAGAAAGGCCAATGAGGAAGTCTCAAGGCTGTGACTTTCTTAAGGGACAGAGAAAATAAGGTGGGCAAGACCAGTTTCCAGGAAGGCATAGGAAGAAGGGGTGAGCTACATTCCAGAGGCAGCCAGCACAGAGGTGCACTGTACTTGCTGGGTGTGTGCCTCGGCTGTTGCTATTTCAGAATGTCTTGGGGCACATGTATGTAGCTTCACGTAATCAAGCCTGCTATTTAGAGCCTTCTACCCTGCCCGTGACCCAGATGCAGTGACCAGCCCTCTTCACCACCCCTTAAAGCCAACATTCCATTATTAAGCCTCACTGGGTCATGATAAGAAGGGATGGGGTGAGAGAGGAGAGTTGGGATTCTGTGCGACAGGTTGCCAATACGCAATAAGGGAAGACGTGGGGAAAGAACTGGCTAGAAGGATCCTTACCACACCCTCCCCACAATTCTGTGCCTGCTTTAAAATTCTTCTTGGCTCACAATTGTACAACTTTTGGAAGACACACAATATCTAAACAGTATATATCCCACTTCATCACCAACCACTTCCTGAACATCTTGGTCTCACCCCACCCATTACACAATCATACCAAGGATCAAACAAAACTCACAAGGCCATGAAGATCTGAGGCTCAGATAGCCTTTAGGGATATTAACCACAGAAGTCAAAGGGGACAGCTGGACTAGATCAATGTGAGGGGAAAAGTCAACCACACAACAAAGAAAGCTATATTTTATTAAACTGGAAAATAAAATATTGGGGACAAAGATTTTTTTTTTAAAGGAATGGTTAGAAGAAAGTGTAAGTGGTCATGAGGAAGGAATGAGACGGATGGTCTGTGGCCACTCTGTGGTGCCTCATAAATGTGTGAGCACACAGGCCACTCACTGCCCCTTCTCCACATACCCTTAGACCAAAAGCCAATACAACTCCATCTTCAGAGATACATCCAGGGTTTTCTTTCTGTATTCTGTAGCTGGTTTCACCTTCAGCCCTGAACAGTCATGTTGGATCTTTGCTGGAGAAAATTTTGATTTTCCAACCACAGGTTTGCTCCTCAAAGCAGCAGTTTCAGCTCCTGGAGAAGTTCCCTCCTATTTGGACTCACCAGAGAAGCCAGGGCCCTTGAACAAAGCCCCAATCTCAAAGAAAAATGTCAAACCTTTAGAACTAGTTATTTTATTAAATGATATCAATACACATTTCAAAAGGATTTCATTGTTGTTGTCTCTAAAGCATGTACTTATTTTGTTTTCCACACTGAACACGTGAGAATATCACCAACATATCTAATTTTAATCTTAACAGGCACCCCCACCAATTTAAAGAAAAGGGCGGGAGGGAAGAAGGGAAGCAGTAATTTACAGCGGCTTCAAAACAGTAACAGCTGAAGCTTAACTGTGTGAACAGGTAACTTCAGGACTGATAGTGAATATTCTGCAATTGGGAAGTTTAGCATATTCACATTATCTAGATAGGTTTGCTGTACCATATATACCACATTGTTTTCCTGGTATCAGGATAAAAATTCTACTTTGGAATCGACCTTCCCTGGAATCAACAAGATTCTATTTACCTTGACTCTTGGGCAGGCAGAGGGAAGCAGGGAGGGAGCTCTCATGTTAGCTGGCTGAAGAGTGAACCCTTACAAAATACTTAAGGACCCTACTTCTGACACGTATCACTAAAGTGGTACTAGTGTATTCACTAGAATTCTTTGTCTGTGATTTTACAGTGAGCACCAGGACCTTAGTAATAATTTCTCATATTCTGCTTTCATATGAGTCATGTCCTTGCTAAGACACAGTATGTTATACTTTCTTTAAAAAATATCTTGTTTATTTTTTAAACTCAGGTTGAAATACAAAAGTCAGAGCATGGTCTTGGAGTTTTAAATCACAGACACAGAAAGAATAAAACCCCTTTGTCTCATGTTTATGAATACCAGAAAGTGTCTTTTTTTGTTTCACTATATCACATATATACATTGTTGTCTTCATTTACTGCTGTAGCGATTTCCTTAAAATTAATAGCTGACAGTCTCATACAAATCCTCATTTCCATCCTGAAACAAATGTACTGAGGACTCTGTGGCAAATGAACAAAAACATCCCACAAAAACCCAAACCCTTAAAAGTCCAACTTTGAACTGTACAATGTCTTCCTTTCAAGGATCAGCCATCATGTTTTTGAGGACAATTACCCTGCCCCAATACTCAGGAAGCGACTTTCCTGACATCCCCACGTTTTCTGATAAAATCAAATGGTCTGAGAGCCTTTTCAAGTAAACACTACATTAGCTTAAACAAGAGCAGCAGAAATAATTCACATTTTTTAAATTCTAGAATAAAAAAATCCCACTTAATTTCTGCAAAAAAAAAAAAAAAATTCTGACAGAATTTCCCTTACCTCCATCCCCATTCAGTTATGCTTTTTCACAAAACAAATGCCTTAGGACTCAAAATAACTATGCTTCCTTTGCTTTGTTATACTATATACCCCATCCCACACACAAGGTCATGGTATCATGCATTTTTGTGGAGACAGCTACAGGGCAAAGAGGCTTGAGGGTCAAAGAAACAAAGAACAGATGGCTCAAGACCAGACACGCATTAGGAAGATGAATGAGCTGACGCATGCTAACCACAGAACACAAGGTGAGCCCAAATAAATAACGTGGAAAACATCACATAAAAACTCCCAAGCTATGATGGACACCTGGTTTAAGCTGCTTTCTCTGAAAGACAAGTTTATTCTGAGACAGAGTCATCTTTTGTCACTATACTGCTCACCCTCCTCCACCTTTGATATTCAACTGGAGAAATCCAAAGCAATTCCCATCCTTCCTCATAGTTAGTACTGTACTAACTTGGGAGAAAATATATGAAATTTGCTAGGATTCCTTCAAAACCTCAACACGTACTGCTTTACTCATCTATCTGGAGGTTTACCAGTACCTTGGGGTAAAACATTAAAAAACAAAAAAACAACCCCCCCCAAAAAAAATTAGTAAGCAGTTTTTGCTTTTCAGGGTCCCTAGATACAAAGATTAAACAAAGTACAGTGATTGTCTTTCTCCCAAATACTAGTTGGAGAACACAAACAAGCCTTTTAGTCCAAGGAGAAGGAAAGTATACCTCTCTCATGTAAAATGAAAAGCAGAAACATTCTTTGCCTCCTGTTGAGCATAAGAAGTGGGGATAAAGCTTGAGCCTTGAAATGTGATAGGTTGCTATCTGCAGAGTGGGGGCAATTTGGATTTTTCAGGTCTTTCGTTTTCTCTGTAATGACATGAATAGTAACACCCACCTGTTTCCAAGACACACTTAAAGAGGTATAATATAAAGTACTACTGAATCTCCTCCTCTGAGTTACCAATAGTAGGGGTGATACAGGACGGAGGCAAGGGGGGAAACCAAGCTGAAGACAAATATTTCCCTTTCTCAATAGTTAACGTTTGCTGAAAACCACCAATGAACACCATGTTAGAGAAGTAAAATTAACTTCTATAAAAAAAATGCAGGGATAATATTTCATTTGCATCTTTGTATCAACTATCAACTGTAGTGACTTTCTAGTTAAAATAGAAATGAAGATCGAGGGGAAAAAATGAGAAAGAAAGAAAAGCAGAAAGCAAGAGCTTGGTGCAAGATGCTTGGAATGTGTCCTGTTCCCTCTTGCTTACAGAAGACAGTCAGGTCCCAGCACACCTCAATGGCTCCTTCCTAGTTCGCTGTATCGTAGGCATATATCCTTATTTTAACCTGGAACTTATATTCAGCCCCCTTTCATTCCTTTTAAAAGGAGAAAAATTTTGACCAGTATAGAATGAGTTTTGTATTTCCTCAAAGTTACTGCCTGATAGTACTTTAGAGGAAGGGTCTGATTGGAGGAAAAAAAAAAGTAAGATTTTAGGAAAAGGGGAAAGAACAACATGCCTTTAAAAATGAAACAAAGAAACCTGACAGAAAAAAATAAAAACCAAAACCAAAAAACCCTGACAGGCCCAAGATCTTCCACATTTCCTCCCTTGCAACATCTCCTGGCTGCCAGCAGGGCAGAGCGAGAACAGGGAATCACATTGGTTACAGCAGTTACTTTGTTGGAGAAGGAAGAGGACAGGGGTCCTTCCATCACTACTACAGAAGCCAACCCCAAAATAACACCCCAACATTCCGCATGTTATTATCTGTACTGATGGAAGTTTTATTTCAAATGTAGTTATACTCTTTAATAGATGGGATAAAATAAAGACTGTTTCCTCCCCACTCCCCAAGCCCCCAGCCAAATGAAGTGGCCTTTGGTTGTGTTTCTTTCTTAAATACAAATAGCTTGGAGAAGCCAGTAAGTGCTGTAGGAGGAGGGACTGGATGGAATAGTAAAATGTAAGCAGAGATGACTTTTTAATTTGGAAGGGAGGCCCTTTATCATAATAAAAAAAATAAATCAAAGGAGGGAAAACAAATAAAAACAGCAATAAACCAAACTCCTACTTGCAATGCTCTCTAGACTGTTCAAAATGCTTCTTTCCCTTGGTTTCCATCAGTACCTGGGAGGGAAGAATGGGCGTTTTGGTGCAAAGAACGGAGGGCCCCTAGCGAAAGGTGGCCTGGGTCTCTTTAAACTGTGGAATGGGTCTCTGCCGAGAAAAGGTTCCCTAGGCCGAAAGTCTGGCCGGGGACTCCGTAAAATCATACCACTCCGGTTGATGGCGTCTCTGTGTGAGGGACCCAAGGGGGGGCCACTGCCGCTGTTGCCGCCTCCCCCACCTCCGCCATGAGCCGGGCCCAGGTGCTCCAGAGAGTGGGCGGGTAGGCTCAGGCTCTCTCGCACACGGCTAAGGCCAGGGCCGTTGAGGTCCCGTTGGGTGGGGCCCCCATGGTCCCTGGGTCCTGAGAGCACCCCAAAATGCTCAGCCAGGGTCCCTTGGAGGAGGGAGCTATGGTCCTTGGGAAACACTGCCACAGCCCCTGCCACTGCGTGCTCTGCCAGTGGAGGGGCTGGGAAGGGTACAACTCCAGAGTGGTCGACAGGGGGTGGAGGAGGGGGCGGAGTAGAGAAGGGGACACCGCTCCCACCACTGCTGCCGAGTTCCCCCGGGGGCGGAGGGGGGGGCGGGGCAGGGAAGGGGACTCCGCTGTGCTCTCCAGGAGGAGGCGGTGGGGCAGCGTGGGCCAGGGCTGCCTCCTTCGTGAAGGGATTCGTAAGATCCACAGAGGGCAGATGAGCGGGCGCATCTCGAGAGAAGATACCACTGTGGTCCTTAGGAGGGGCAGGAGGGGCGGATGTCGGCCCCACTGGCTCTCTCTGGAAGGGTGTCCCATGTTCCAAGGGGGACGGGGGGAGATGATGCTCAAATGTTGAGTTGAAACTGTTGGAACGAAAGCTGCCGACACTCTCCTGAAACTGGGGTGCCCGCTCCTTGTATGGTGTTGTTTTAAAGCCAGTGAGGCCTCCGCTGCCCCCACCCCCAAGGGAGGCCAAATCAGAGGCACTGGAAGGGCCATTGTCAAAAGAGCTGCCCGATGTGCTCAGGTCGAACCAGCCCACCCTTGAAGCCTCGCGCCCATGTCCTCTATTCCCCTTCCCAGGAACTCGGATGGACTCTACGGTCTGTATGGGCTCCCCCGACATCCTTCTATTAGCTGCGTTATGGTAACCCAGAGTTTCTATGGGGGCCCCTTTCTCTTCGGTGCTGTCAGGCAAGTCTAGGCAGGAGGAGGACACGCGGGTCTCTATGCGGTAGTGCTCTTCTTGTTGCTGCTGCTCAGCGGTAGTCAAGCTGGGCTGGGTGAGGCCAGAGAGACCGACACCATCATTTGAAGTGCCCTTGGTGGGGGTCTGGCCAAAATGCTTGTCATCTGAGGGCTTGCGTGAGGCGTTTTTAAGCATATTCTTAAACTCAATCGTCGACGTGGTGGAAATGGTGGAGGCCAGGACTTTCTCCACGCCTGACGTGGGTGGGTGGCCCGTGGGAGCAGCGAGGGTATTCTGCGGAGAGAAAAGGGAACGATGTGGGACTGGGTGAGGAGAGTCTGGGTACTGCTTCTGTGGCAAACTGAGATGCCCAGTGGTAGGCTGAGACAAGCTATTGTGGTTGGAGTCGGGGGTGAAAAATGAATCATTCTTACTCGGTGATGGTGACCGGTCAGACCCAGGTTCGTTCCCTCTTATGCTGAAGGCACCAAAGAGCCCAGGGGAAGAAGCCAGACGGTCACAGTTCTCACTAGAGTCCAGGAGGGCTCTTACAGATGGAGGGAAGGCTGACTTTACCCCAAATTCTTGGGCCCTGTGGCTATAACTGGACAGGATTGGCTGGTAATCCGGGGCATCAGACACCTTGCTGGACTTCAGGATAGATTTGGCTGGTTTCTTCTCCAGGTTCATCATAGCAGAAGGTGGAGGCCCTGAGTACTCAAAATCTCGGTAATCTTCATCTTCATGGAAAGAAGTATCTGGATAGAACTTTTCCTGTGAAGAGTCCATCAGGGAAGACGGTCTCTCCATTCCATCAGAAGGTTGCTTATAGGGAGATTCACTGCCCAGGCCAAAGGGTCGATATGTAGACACAGAATTGGAGAGCTCCCGGGGGTAGTTTTCATCTCTCCCGGCGGGTGGTGATCTTGTACTGCTGGGTGTTGAGGAACCTGGGCTAATGATCTTAGAAAGCAGGGACATAGTATCTACACTGCTGGACGTAGGCTTGTCCATCATCTCATCCTGGGTGGGTGTTCCACTCCGTTCATCCCGTACAGGGGTTCCATCAATGTTGTCGATTGAAGTGCTAGTAGGGCCACGCTGGAAGTCTGAGGGATGGCTCTCGGATGGGGCACTGGACCCCAAACTGCTCAGGATTGGGATATTTAAGTTTAAGCCACTGAAACCAGGATTACCTTTTAAGAAGTTGTGGATCTTCATTTCCAGGCTTGGGGAGGTGGACTCTGACTCCAGTTTTGGCTTGGAGATCTCTGAAGATTGGCACATGGCAACTTCGGTAGGCGGGGCAGCAGGGCTAGTACTGTGGGTACCTGCAAACCCTAAAGAGTTGGATGGCAGTTTAAATGTAGTGCTTGGAAGCCCTGGACTTTGCCCAATTGATGTCTTGCTGGCTGAAGTTGAAGAGACTTCAGAAGCTGATGAATTAGGAGAATAGTTGAAACTTTTGGGTATAAAAGATTGGGTATTAGAGGACACATTTCTTCCTTTTATGGTAGAGACTGTGGTGTTGGCAGGGGAAGTTGATGTGCTCTGAGATGCAGCTTCACTGGATGGAACTGGGTTCCCAGTAACACTCTGAAGTAAAGATGACAGGCCTGTAAAAACAAAGATTAGAGGGGTTAAAAAGAACAACTCTCTGCCATCTAATAAAAACAATGTAGGCTTATGAGATATCCTCACTCATTCTGGTGGGAACCAGATGGGTTTTAAAATATGAAGCCAAAGGGAATCCAGACCAAACAAGTACTGGCTCAAGGTCATAAAAAACATTGGACTTATTTATCAATCCAAAAGAGAAAAAAAAAAATCACTGAAATGTTTCCCGTGTAGTTCAGAAACGCATCCAAAACAGCACAATAAAAGGCAACAGGAAGGGAGAGATTCTCATGTCAGAATCACTCATAGTTGCAACAAGGCAAAGTAGGAAAAGAAAGGAAGCAAAATTATTCTTAAAACAACAACTTAAGCCAGTATTTACTAATGTTTGCTCTGTGGAAATGGTTCTCAAAATGCAAACAGATATCCTGCCCTACCTTTCCTTTCCCAGCTCCACAATCATCTCTAAGGTTAACAGTACACACTGTGACTCTTAAGAGGAAGACAACATGTGCAAACCCGAGAAATCCATTAGAATGGGGAGTACTTTGTTCCAAGAAGTATCTCTTGCTAGACTGGTTGTTACCTTTTAGAAAACAAAGCTTTTAACTATCAAATCTGATTGTAAAATGTAGCAATAAAAATGAGATAAACACAAAGACTTAAAAGCCAGACAAACAGGGGTACTGATCCTTTCACAAGAAAACAAAATTTCTTTTCTATAACTTGGAAAAACCAAGGATTATTGATTAATTAAAACTGATGATGATGAGATTCAACCCTATTCAATGACAGACAAAACCTCCTCAGAAGTACTGAGAAAGAGCTCTTTGGGACAAAGGTTGAAGGTTCATGAAAGCAAACTACTCCTGTAGAAAATGTTTTAAAAAATATTTGACAAATGTGGCTCAGTGACATATGAAGTCCTCGCACATATGAAGCCCTGGGTTTGATCCCAGCACCACATAAAAATAAATAAATAAAATAAAGGTATTGTGTCCGTCTACAACTAAAAAAATATTTAAAAAATATTTGACAAAGAGGTAACAGAAGAGCAGATAAATTTAACCATGTTTTGGAAAATTTAATGAATTTCTGGTCATAAATGAAAACCTTACTTCATGCAAGTATATAAATTTTTCTCTTTTTGGTACTGAGGTTCGAAACCAGGGCTTCTTGTATGCAAGAGAAGCACTCTACCATTGAGATACATTTCCAGCCCCAAATGTATAGATTTTAGTTAATAAATTGTACTAAAACTTATCCTTAGCAATGATATTGTAAAAGAGTATTTCATAATTTTATATGGTAACTTTGGTTAATTAATATGTCTTCAACATATCAATTTTAACCCATATTTGCTGAGATTTATGGTGTGAATAATTTTAGGGCCACTCCAGCATTACTTTTTATTTATTTATTTATTTTTTGTGTGGGAAGAACTGGGAAATGAACCCAAGGGTGCTTAAACACTGAGCCATATCCCCAGACCTTTTTATTTTTTATTTTGAGACAGGTCTTGCTAAGTTGCTTAGGGCCTCAATAAGTTGCTGAGGCTAGTCTTGAACTTGTGATTCTCTTGTCTCAGCCTCTTTAGCTGCTCAGATTTTAGGCATAAGCCACATGCCTGGCAAAATTCTAATGTTCCCTTTTTTTTTTTTTAATTTTTCTGTAATCTAATATCAATGTTAGATAATATCCAAACAATTGATATTTAACTTCAGTTATCCTGGGGAGGCGGGAGGGAAAGCATGTTTCATTCTGAAAAGTTTCCAGGCTATACAATTTTTCCTTTCCTAACAGTTTAATTTAATTTTAATTCCTAGCAGTCATTGTTGTCACCAAACCCAGAAGTCCTCAAGTGCTACAATGTGATACATAATAATGTCATGTAACTTTAAAAAGATATTTCAGCATATCTTTAAGATACTGTGGGATAAATTCTTCAAAAGATCATCTTTTTAAGATAGATACCACCCAGATTTCTGGAATAAATAAAATTGTCTTTCACCATTAAACATTATTTTGTGTCGAAAATCTGTAAATAAGGACTATGGACCCTTATCACAGAACTAAGTTTTAAGAGATTTCTTGGAGACATTTTTATTTATCTATTTTTATGTGGTGCTGAGGATCAAACCCAGGGCCTTGCACATGCTAGGCAAGTGTCTACCGCTGAGCCACAACCCCAGCCCTCTTGGAGACATTTAATAAACACATCTATTTATGCTGCTGGACACAGTCCTTTGAAAGTTATAGAATTTGACTTTCTATAAGTAAATAAAAGTTGATGAACAACTTGTTAGTCCACAAAAATTATTTTTTTGGGGTTCTCATTTCTTATTCTGTCAAAACATGCTTAATGGGCTGGATGTAGCTCAGTGGCAAAGAGTCTGCTTTGCATTTGCAAAGCCCTGGGTTCGACCCCCAGTTCCAAAAATGATAAAAAAAAATACTGTCTCAGAAATCTAACCGAAGGAAAAGCTTTAAGGTGTAGTTTCATATGTTAATCATACAAATGAGTTCAAGATTTTTGTTGTTACTATAAGATAGCAATAGGAGAGGGACTGAAAAGGAGAAATCATAAGCATATCAATCCTTCAAATGAACTGTTCCTAAAATTAGTGGTTCAAGATGTGCCATAGTATTATCATCAACTACTAATTGCTGGTCTCAATATATGGAAGCTATGTATCTAAGTATTATTACTTTATAGTACTTAGTTCTGTGTAACAAAATTTTCTATATCTTATAACAAAATTCACCATAATACAGTACTTGACTGATCACTTACAAAACAGCTTAGGAAACAGAAAATAAAGAGATACCTATATTACTATACTCACACAGAGCACGATTTCTCAAGCTCAGCACTTTTGACATTGTGGGATGAATAATTCTTTGCTGTTGGGGGTTTTCCGGTGGATTATACAATGTTTAGCAACATCCACATGGGTCTGACCCATTAGTATCCCCTTGCCTAGTCGTGACAACCACAAATGTCTCTATTCCTTGATACATGTCCCCTAGAGGCCCCTGGTTGAGATTACTGACTTTGAGTATATCACTACAATAAAGATACTGTTATGGTATTTATAATTTATTGCATAATTATACTGAGGTATTTAAAAAGGGTTGTGTTGGTATCTAGAAAAAAAAAAGAGTAGAGATCAGATTGACCTTAAAAAAAAAAAACAAAAAACAAAAAAAGTTAAAAACAGGCAGTTTTACATGCAAAACACACTGGCAAAGCTGGACAGAGGGTCAACTGAGGCAGAGATCATATATTCATGAAAACAAAAAGATGAGAATCAGGAACTAATTGTCTTATACATTTTATGCCTTTGGATTCCTCAGAAATGGAATACAGGATTAAGCCAGGGACAAACACAATTCAAGTCCCTCTTGCAGATATCAGTTTACCTTGTAGTGCAGGGGCTGACTGTGTCTGGGTTTTGGAAAGAGCAGATAGAATGCTCTCTGGGGTGATCTCCACCTTGGAGAGGATATTTGCCAGAGGGTTATGAGATGTTGTTGTGGCAGGTGCAGGTGTTTTCAGGCCACTGGTGAGGTTGCTGGGACTGGTAGGAGTTCCTGGAGAAGGTCTTGATGCAGGACTGACCCCTGGTGGCAGAAAGATGAACTCAAGAAAACGCAATTCAAAAATGACCTTTCAATTCACTACATTTTCCACTCACTTCAATGAGTCTGATGTTTAATAGAAATTCTTCTTGTCTGATCCACAAATGGTCCCTTATCATGGAATGTACAAAGAGAAAAAAAATCTGAAAATTAAGATACGCTACTTCTATTTGGAATATCCTTAAAACAAACAAGTATAAAGTTATTTTCTTATATACTCATTAGTTTTAAGAACTCCCAACAAAGAGAGACTAGGCAAACTGCTTTTTTTCCACTACCAAATAATTCTTATACTTAAGAGCCCCATTAGTACTCAGTAAGCACTGCTGGATGATGGGTGATCAGACCCTCTTTGATCGAAGGAGTCTGCTACGGCATACTTCCGTGTCTTGCTTTTGAAATAATGATGAGTTATGTTTTTTACATTTCAAAATGGTTGATTTTAACATATAAAATGGTATATAAAGAGAAAAACATTTGACTATTTAAAAGATGATAAAAAAACTATGAACAGATTATTTCACAAAGAAACAGAAATAAGCAAATAGAAGAAAGTTTAACCACATCTTTAATCAATGAAAAACATTAAAACAATTTTTAAAGGTTGAATGTGACACAGATTAAATGAAATAAAACAGTAGAGAAGGTGAGGAACAGAAACTTTCATATACTAGGTACATAAAATAGTATATATTCTTGGATATCAATTTTGTTATAACATATGAAAAGCCTTTTAAAAACATGCTAAATCTTTTTTTTTGTGGGGGGAGGATCTTTATCCAACTCCCCCACCCCGCCCCCTGGTTCTGGGGAGTTGATACATGACCTTGCACATGCTATGCAAGCACTCAACCATTAAGCTACATCCAGCCCAAGAGTCTCCATCTTTTAGAAGTATGTATATATTTATGATGAAATTAAATGTTTGGACTAGGTGTAGTGGCACATGCCTGTAATCTCAGTAATGTGGGAGGCTAAGGCAGGAGGATTGTAAATTCAAGGTCAGTTTTACCAATTTACTAAGGCCCTAAGCAACTTACTAAGGCCCTATATCAAAATACAAAAAAGTGTTAGGGATGTAGCTCAGTGGTAAAGCAGAGAGTAAAATCCTTAGTATAGGGGGAAAAAAAAAAAGAAAAAAAAGTTTAAATTGGAAATTTCTTCAAAATAATCCAGAGTGAATATGGTATAGATTTGTCAGGGTTACCCTAGTATAACTGAGTGATGAGTACATGGGATATTCTACTTGCATACATTTTCATTTAGTTTTTCTTGTGTATATGTGTGTGGTGCTGGGGATTGAACCCAGCACTTGGCCGTGGGACAAGTTATATCCCCAGCCCTTTTATTTTTAAAAATCAATCAATTAATTATTTTTTTTTGGGGGGGGTACTGGGGATTAAATTCAGGGACACTCAGCTGCTGAGCCACATCCCCAGCCCAATTTTGTATTTTATTTAGAGAGCCTCTCACCGAGTTGCTCAGCGTCTCACTGTTGCTGAGCCTGGCTTTGAACTTATGATCCTCCTGCCTCAGCATCGAACCACTGGATTACAGGCATGAGCCACCATATTTGGTTATTTCAATTATTAAAAGAATTTTTAATCTCTCAAACACTCACATACACATATACTTGTAAGAATAAATAAATAAGTGATTTCTTTTGAGGTAATATGATGACAGATATTTATTTTATTCACTGTGCTAATTTTCTAATTTTTCTACATTTTCACTGAATTTTTTAAACAAAATTCAACAACAACAAAACAGACTAATGGCTCAATTTTAAAATCTAGAAATCAGCTTTTTATCTTCTTCACTAGGCTTACTTACCAGTATTTTTCATGACTGATGTTAGGCTGCTAAGGATGGAACTAATCTTTGCCAGATCCACGTTAGCCAGGTTGGGCAAAGCCAAAGCTGGGGACGGGGACAGAAGAGAAGTATTCACAGGCTTTGGAAGAGGTGGGGTTGCTGTCATGGTCACAGGCACTGGGGTACAGGAAGAGGCCTTTGGGAGAGTTTCTGTTGGCTTTGTAGGTACAGAAGTAGAGACAGCTGACTTCTCCACAGGTTTTTCCTTCCTGTCCTCCACTGTTTCAACAAAGAGAAGATATGATATTACATCTTCCTACTTTTTAGGCTTTGTTCTTAAATATGAAATAATATGTCCTAATATTTTCTAATTTGAGGGTTTAAAAGCACTATAATTCTAGAGAAAACAACCAGTCACTTTGTGTGTTTTTTATTTTAAAGTCATAGTCTTCATAAATTATTATTTTTGATATTTATTATCATTCCCACCTTCTATATCTACTTAAAAGGAATTTCTCAATTATCCTCTTTCTTACTTATTTATGATTTTTTTTTTTTTTGTGTGGTGCTGGGGATTGAACCCAGGGCCTTGCTTGTGCATGCAGGGCAAGCTCTCTACCAACAGAGCTACATCCCCAGTCCCCTTATGATTCTTTTGGATCTTCTGAAAATTTGTGTATTCAATGTATACATTTCTGAAACAGGAGGGTGAGAGGCTGGGGAGTGACATGAGGATTCTCAGGAAAGTGGAAGGAAAAGGAAATGGCAAAAAATTAAAAAAATGAAAGGCTACTACTGTTGCAGCCACCTTCCCCCAAATAAAGATAATTAAACTTTGAACATTTCTGGAAAACACTTATTTGATACACATTTGCATTGTCCCTTGGAAATGGTATTTGTCATCTTTCCTTTTTCATTAATCTGAGAATTTCTTAGTGACAAAAGCTCAAGAGCTCTATAAGTATTTTGTTGTATTTTCTAAGCAATTTCTTTTCTTTTTTCTTCTTCTTTTTTGGTACTAGGGTGCAATTAGGCTCTAATTTGAAACTGCAAAGTTTTACTTCTTTTTTTTTTTTTTTT